TCCATTTTGCCAGCTAATCTAGCATATGCATAGGTTCCAGGAATTAGGACAAAGAAAAAGGGATCCATGAGAAGAAAATCACAGAAAAAACGGAAAACACAGATTATGTCCAGAGAACACTCTTGGATAGAAATCCCACCTCCTGTTTCATCAAGACATCTTACAGATGTTACATATTATTGACAAGATTCCAAGAACATATGAGTACTTTTTGTATGGTGGCCTCAATTTATTTTTGAAACTAAGTTATAAAATATTAATAAATAAATAACTATGACACAGAGAGGAAGGGAAAGGGAGGGAGAGTGAGAGAAACGCAAGAGACAGGTCTCGAATGCTATTGAAGTTAGCAGATTTACTCCAGCCTAAAATCTCAGCCCTGATCTTTCACTTGAGGTTTCAGCACATCAGTTCAACTCTTAGAAGGTGGGTTGTCTTCAACCAATACTCAAGGGGTGTGTGTGTGTGTGTGTGTGTGTGTGTGTGTGTGTGAGTGAGATGCCAGCTTCAGCATTCTTGATGCCTAGGCACGGAACACTTGTTTTAGGCCTAGCTAAGGGCCTTTGGCTGGAGTCAAGATGTAGAGTGTTAGGTTCTAAGATGAAAAGTATGGAGTTATACTTGTGATGGGCCATACATTTGCAGAGTACTTTTGGTGAGAGATTATATAATCACTTTTAGATAGTGTTAAGCACCTAGAAGAACTCATCCCACTGTTCATCGTGGAGAGAAAGAACTGTTCAGTATTACTCATGTTTTTCTTTCTTTTTTCTCTTTAAAATAAAATCACCTAAATTCTCATCAAACCTGAAGACCCAAGCAAGCTTTTTCTCTTCGAGAATACTTTTCCAAACTGTATTTTCAGTCATATCGCCTGTATCTTACTGTTTAGCATTTGATCACACAACATTATCTATTATTCTATAATTGTTTTGCAAGCTTGACATCTTCCCAATTCTATTACATGCTTTTGAAGACCACTTTTTTAAAAAGTTCTCAAGTTTCTAGCCATACAGATTAGTACATAATGAATATAAGTGAATACAACTGAAAAGTCCTGGTCAAAAATACTTCCCTTGAGTCAATTTCTATTTCAAATGCAATCATCATTCAAATGTGTTTGAACTTTTTTTGGGGGGGGGGTTGTCGTTGCAACTACTGTAGATATTTATGATCATATATTTGATGTTCATGTATGTTTAAGTTTCATATAATAGTAGCAAGAAATAATAAAAGGAATAACACTACCATTCATTGCATAATTACTATGTGCCAGAAACCATTAATTCCAAGTATCTTATAGGCACTATCTCACTGCATCTTCATCAAAACCCTAGATCACAGATCACTGTGAAAATTAAATGAAGGATTTTAAATAGAGTCGTAAACACAGAATCTTACCAATGATCAGTGAAAGGGAGCAGAATATACAACCCCAAAACATGACTGCAGGAGTTCAGGACATACTACCCCAAAATATGCCACTTTGGTATGCTGATTATTTTGAACTGGAAGCACTAGCAATTCAGCAGCAAATGCAGGGGGAGGCTTTCTCTGAACTGCCCTTATCTTCTTAAAGACATATCCTCCAAAAGAAACTCAGCTGTCACAGATCGCCTCCCCTAGAGTTTCACCAGTCAAGAAAGACAGACTCTTACCACAAGAGATGAGACTAGACATTGACCCCACAGCCACACTTTGTCTCAAACTGTCATACCTCCCATCTATTCTTCTAAGACCCCATTCAACCCTTCCTAAAAATCATTCACTCTCCTCTAAGAGGCCTATATTTCCCCTCCCTTTTCCCTATTAAGATGGTATTTAATCATGAATTCTAAGCCACTTCAGGGAGTTACTAATTTTTCCCTGGGTATCTCCCATATGTACATGAGATATACATGTTAATAAACTTCTTTGTTTTTCTCTTGTTAATAAGTCTTTTATTACAGGGGTCTCGCTAAAAATTCAAAAGTGCAGACAAAAATTTATTTTTCCTCCCTTAAATCAGCTGTCAAAAACTGTTAGCTACTATTTAATTTTCATATTATATATCTTTCACCAAAACAACTGGAATTCAATAATTTCAGTGACCCATTTCTTGGTATTTTATAAAAATTAATAACCCCTCAACAACTAAGAAGACATTAACAACAGCATAGTAAATTATTCTGACCTAGTATGGCTCATTTTCTTGCCCCTGGATTCTTCCCAGTATGCATAAGCATTTGCAATATTTCCCAATGAGAGAAGACAGCTTGCTTAATTTTGTTCCTATGGCATCAAAACTATTCCATAAATAAAGTTTTTAAATGAAAGGCCTTGGGTGACTGAATTATAATGACCAAACATTTCAAAGCATCCACCAAAACAATCTCAGCCCTCAGAAGAGCTGAACACATTAATGAAATGGCCTCCCTGTGGAGAGAAATACAAAAAGAGCCACATTTTGTTTGTGTTTGAAAATAAAGCATCCAATTTTCAGGGGTCCAGAACATTAGAGAAGGATGACACTCTTTGGTTTGGAGGATAGAACGATTTGGTGGTAGGAAGCACACCTGCATACCTCAGCTGAGTGCATATCAGAAAGACCTACTTTAGAGTTCTAGAAGGGTGAGCCATACATGCAAAACCTGAGGCAAACAACAAATGAGTTTGAGTATCTTTGAAAAAACGTTGCATACTATAGCAAAGCTTGAAAGAAAGTAGGTGCTTCTTTAAGTTTTGGAATTAAATACAGTAATTGCCATTATAATTCATCTATCATCAAAGCAAGCTTGTGGAATAGAGCTTGGGGTGCTTTTCTTCAAAGGGCTTCTCTATTTCTCAGGATTTAGCATTGCCCTTCAGGCAAAACCACCATAAAAGTCCCACCTGCTATTTCAGTGTAAACTTTAAACACTAATGGTGCTGAAGAGCAATATTGCCTTTGGAAAGCCATCTATCATCTGCAACCATACTTTATTTTCCAGGGAACTGAGATACTTCAATACTGAAATGGAAATCAGTGGAGGAGGAAGGGCAGGTTTTCTACTACTTTCCAACCCATATTTTTCATGAAAGTAGAACTACAAAACCCTTTTCCAGCCCAGAATCTGTTAAGACCCCCTGGGGACATTTCATGTCTTGAATATCTCTACCTTGTTCCATTTTTCTTTTCACAGCTCTTCTTCACCAGCTCTGCAGTCTGAGAGCAAAATTTTAGAATCTCACTTTGATATACCTCATATCAGGACAAGTAACAATTTCAAATAGTAGGAAAATCACCTGGGTAATAAAATACCCAATTTTATATATTTAAATACAATGATATTAGTCTTCAGATAATCAGGGAAGAAATAATTTACTTATTAGATTATTTTCATATCTGTTTTACTTAATTCTTTCACACTATTCACTAAATTCATAGGTGTGCCAATAAGGAAAAAATGTTGGGAAACCATTCCTTAAATCAAAAGACATAAAATTGACTAACCAGTCCAACTTGGGTGAAAAATGTTACCCTTCTGTAGTATATTGATTTAATATTTTATTCAACTGTCTACATGTAACTAACAATAATAATAAAAACATCATCACTGAAAATTTACAATGGCATTGTAATGGATAAGCCCTTATCAGCCATTATTTTATTTAATCCTCATAGCAAACTCTATGTGGTACGTACCATGTGTTATTTCACAAACGAGAAAAACGAAGCACAGTGTGGTTTAAGGCCCTTACCTAAAATCACACAAGTACACAGTCGTCAGGATTTGAACCTAGGCAGTGAGTGTGACAACCAATGACACACTCTAAAATTTCTCATTCATTTCGAAGAGAACTGTCTACTCCATTTCTTTTCCCATATGGGAAAATGGGGAGTAGGAATTTGATATTTAATGAAAACTAGTGTGCACTAAGCATTGAGACACTGTATTGTTTCATCCTGGTACCCTTGTAATTGTTTTTGTACAGCACAAAAACAATGAGGTGCTTCTAAAATGTTGGTGGTGTTTCAGTGCTTTACAATATTAACTCATTTAATCGGCATAATGACCCAATTAAGTAGATATTGTTTTATATACCCGTTTTCCAGTTGAAGCATCTTTAGCACAAAAAAATTAAGTAATTTAACCAAGATTATGCAGCTGGTAAATGGTAAGATATATTCATACATAGTTCCCCATAGCCATAGCCGATGTGAATCTTATTACATCAGTTCAATGAAGTGGATGTTTCCTATACTGAGAGGAGACTCTTTTATTAATACCTATGCCTTAACCAAGAAAAGCTGGTATATGACTTAGAAACAAGGCATTTCTATTTTCTATCCTCTGGGACTCCCATTAAATAAGTTTTTTCACAAGGTTCACCGGACTAATTCCAGTTTCTCACATAATTGCTAAGTTATTCCTCTTAGTTCCTTCTAAAACAGTGGCTCTCAAACACGTCTAAACAAAGGAAAGCCAGTTAAGCAGTTGTATATAAACGGGCAATAGTGGGAACAGTCTTCTCGCTGAAAGGTTTAATACCAGCTTCTCCAACACACTGAGAAATGCTTTTGACAAGCTGCAAAATGCAAAATCATACTCTTCAAAACTCACTATTTGTATGAACTGCATGACTTAGTATGACAGGAATAGTTCTTGTTTTTGATATTCTGAAACTTGATATTACAACTAATATTGTTAATAACAAATTTATTCCTTAAAATGTAGTATTTTCTTACATGTTTTAAAAACTAATATTTCTCTGAATTATATTTTTATAATAAAAAATTGTGGTTATCTCTGGAAATTATCTTAGTAGCTGCCAAAGGTGCAAACAGTCAAATAAGCAAGTCAACAGAGGTAATCTAAGTAGCAGAAAGGTGAAATATTAAGTGGAGAGAAATTCCTAGTGAAACAAGAACCATAAGGGTAGTTTAATTGGTTTAATTGGGTCAATAGCCATAGTTAAATAAACCTGTGGCTACTGACCACATTGAGACAAAGAGATCCATTTCTACAAAGTACCTTTAGGAGTCTTTTCTTCTTTTTCTTTTTTCCAAATGTTGACAAGAGAGATGAATGAGCAACCAGTCCTGCCAATTGAAACAGTCATCTTTTCAGTTTATCTCCAGAAAATTAAATGTAGTTCAAGAAAATTAATCATTTTATACAATCTAAAAATCTACATATTGCTGAAAACGTGTGATCAGAGTATTTTCATGATAAATTTGGAAAAGACCAAACTGAAGTCCTTTACTGCAAATTATTATACTTTGACCTGTTTAAAACAAGCACTTAACCTGATACCTGTGCCACTATAATCAACTTCACGTCCACATCATTTCCTGAGAGAAACAAATATCTTATCAATAAGAACTGGACTGAGATTGTAAGCACCACGAGCAAGTATGGTATTTCCTTACAGCTGTGTTTCTAACACTCTTAAAAGCAGTTATACCTTATGCCTTTTAAATTAACTTATCCCTTTCACGCAACAAACAGCTTGCTAAAACTGTCTGGATGCCAGAAGTTACTCACCAGTTCACCATTTAAGGTCACCATTCCTTCTTCTATAATTGCAGAGTTCAGTCTAGATACCTGCTACATGTTTCTAAAACTCACAAGTAGATTCTTTTGAACTCTAGCCCCGGTACTCTATGAAACTACATACTTGTCCTCAGGCTGAGTGAACTTGCAATCATAAGAAACACTTGTTGGAGGAGGCTATCGAGAGGCTGTGACCACTGGTTGACCCTCAAGCTAGACCCAGGCAATTGGAGGCTCCTCACCCACTCCCTTGTCCTTGGAATGTATATTCTGACCATCATTCCCACACAAGGAGCTGTTTCAAGGACGTAGCCTTGAGAGAGTAATGTGCTGTTCGGACCATCTGGAAAGTAAGGCGACTTAACTCCATTGAGGCCTCTATAAACTTTTAAGACTCTGCCAGGTGGGTGCGGAGACGTCCTCGTTTTGCGGCAGCCCAAGACAAGCGTCATATGTAAGTTCCCTTGCTTAGTAAACCTGTTCTAACCGCAGAACCAGCCCCCGCCACTGGCCCTGTCCTGATTCTAACAAGATACTGAACTGTTTTTCAGCGGTAACAGAACAAAACCGAAACTCACACTGCCGAAGCATGCGCAGAGGAGAAAATTTTGACCTCAACACCCGGAACCAAACTTCCCCCTCCCACGGAACCAAAGAATCAGGGCATGACCGGAAGCTGAACGCCGGGACCCTTTCAAAAAGGACGGGTCCATTTTCCAGGAGGTTGTGCTGCTGAAGCCCTTTTCCCACGCTTTTTTCATAAATGGCCATGTTCCAGACAGAACCTTCCAGTCAGAACCTGCACCGCCAGAACTCCAGCATACCAGCTGTCCTCCCCTGATTTATAAAAGCTGGACAGGTATGAGCCTTGCTTCCTGTCTCCTTGCCAGCCGACCTTGCAATAAAGCTTTTTCTTCTCTCAAAAGCCTGTGCCATAGTATTGGCGTCTATGTGCATCAGGCAGCTGGCTTACGTGGCCACCTATCAATGTGGAGTGGTCGCCCTCTTTCTTCACTATCTCCTTGCCCTCGCATGTGGGGGGCCCATTTGTGAACCAACAGCACTTCCACTACCTGTCCTGTCTCTTCAGGACTCATCCTAACAAGGCTAGTTTATCCAAGTTTCGTATCAGTCAGACAGAACAGGATCAATAGCTGATTCTCAGGAAGAGAGTCATGTATGGTTGTGGGCTATGGAGGTCTACAAAAAAGAAACTTGCAGAAGAAAGGAAAAAGAGTAACTTATTTTCTTACTTAAGCTATGAAGTGAAAAGCGGACAGGAAAATTACCTGTCCTGCATGAAGATCACAGCTCTACTGCTACAGTTCTCACCTTGCACGGTATTCTGTTGTACTAATGATGCCCCTTACTCTCATCCCACCTCTCTATCAAGCAAGGTACTATGCCTGAAATTGCTTCCCAATTGTGATGGACATTCTTCTGCAAAGATTACATTATATTTTGAGTTTGGAAAAATCCACTTAAAATATGTAATCCTTATGCAAGTGCAATCTGTGCACTGTACATCAAGCCTCTGCTTTCACACCAAAACCCTGATTCTGTTTTCTTTTGCCTCTGATTTTCAATCAGTAATTTTCCTCCTCTGATTCCAAGAGGAAGACCAAAATTCAAAAATTAAGTGTACATAGCACCTCCATAGTTGTATGTGCATTATGTATAAGATGATTATAGACTTCTCCCCTTCACAATATTAACTTCCAGAGGTCAGATAATGTGTGTTATATTCTGCAGGAACATCCCAATTTTCACCCTGGTATGCATACATTCGCCCTAAATAGTTTCCCATTTAAAATGTCTTGCCAGAATCATGTACCAGTACGTGTAGACTCATACCTCCCTATCCCTAAAGAGGAATAAAATAACTCGGTGTTCAGCAACCAGCTAGAAGCATACTGTGGCATGTTACCAATGGAGTATCTCTCTGGAAAACAATTCCTGTGGATTGTAAATAATGGCATTGACCAATCACCACTAGGAAAAGGTAACACAGTAATTGATATTTCTCCTAGAGTGACCAAGGGAATGGCTTGACTATATCTGTGAGAATTAAAAACAAATTGCAAGCTCCTAGTCTGTCCTCTGTCCTTATAAAGCGCCAACAACGTTTTGTTGTCTCTCAGTACCCCGTTTGGTGCATCTCAACCTGTTTTTTTTTATGTCTCAGTTTACTAAAATAAATGTTGTACATTCTCGTTGTGGTCAAAAATAAACGATGGCTCATATTGTGCGTAGGTTCTTGCTCATGACAGTCCAGACTGCTAACAGATTGCTAATATGTTAACAGCTCTATTATAAGACTCTTAAGAATGCAATTTTTTTTGTGCCATTTCTGAAGTCAAATTCTCCATGTTAAAGGAGTACTGCACAGGAACACCGGGATAGATGCCCAGACTCTTTCTGCATGCAGATATCTACAGTGTAATAGATCCAGATGGCTGAGAATTTTAAGGTAACATTCTTCAAGGTGTGCTGCTTATTCAGGTGTGCCCACTCTGGAAATCAGAATATTAATCTGAAATACTCAGATAGGATCTCTGCCTCCTGGTCCAGATCTGCATATAATAAAATTTAAAGGTACCCTAAATGTAGAAGTTTCTGGAAATGATGGAAGTTAAAAAAAATTTTAAGAATGGCTGGACTCAAATATTGAAATTAGATAATTTTTCAGTTTCTCCTTCCAAAGATACAGGTGAAAATCTTTAAATAGATGTGATTCAGTGTCTCTAGTTCTTGTGTGATCCAGCTTTTTAAAAATATATATTATTTACATTGGTTAATATCCTTTTATGAATTTTATGCCATTTGTCCCATAGTCTTGGTATTGATATTGTCAAGGGAGAGTCTGACTTTAGATAGGAGCATGGATGGTGGCTAAGAGCATGAATACATGTCTGATACATGGAATGTGCTCCATAAAGGCATCCCAGGGAAGTTGCTCAAGATAATTCGTTCTAACTTTTTCAAAATCATCTGTTCTGTTTCACAAAGTTGCTCATTAGTGCTAGGAGAATATTCCGTAGAAGACTGTCATGGTCCCTCAATCTTCAGTTTATAGTGTCAGTGAGGTTCAGCCATTGATTCAGATTGACTCAGGTAACACACAAACATCACACTGAGTGCCTACCCGCCAGTCACTATGGCAAAAACATACTTTATATGCACAAAATTCCTACAAGAAGAATATAAATATTACAAATCTTACTCTGTGTATTCAACACACTCTTTTCATAATAATAATAATAATAATAATAATGATAATAAATGAGATTTATTTGTTCATGAAACAAATTGTAAGGAGGGGATTTGGCTTCTGGCACAGCAAGATTCAGATGCCCAAACAATATTGCATGAATTCTCTTTACTCTCCAGTTGTTTTGTTTTCCATTCTGCTGACTTTATTTGGAAGCAAATTCTTTAAAAAAAACATTTAACCACACCTCTGGATTTGCCATCCTAGTAGATTTTCCAGTAATTCCAACTAAGATCCTGGGCTGTTGCTTGCTCATTGATATTCTGTGATTGTGCCTAAATCATCTGCCTACCTCTGAAGCCACACCGCAGGTTCAGCATCCTCTGAAACATGAGCATTGAATCTAAGGGAGGTTAGTTCACAGAAGAAACTCAGGAAGCTGTCATTGGAAAAGAGCTAAATGGAGTTGTGCTGACTAAAACAATAGATATCCACTGTACTCTCACCTTACAGAAAATTACATTGAATCTTTGCTAATGTACCAAGTAAGTAAAACCAAAACTCACACTCAGGCCTACTGACCTCAAAGTCACTCTTGACAACTGTCCCTTATTGTCAATCAGTACCAATTAAACTAGCTCTGATATCAAACTTAGGGAGGATTGTTTATTCAGATCCATTCTCTAGAACTGAAACAAAAGTAATTTAACAAGTGAAAGTACATATGTTTTCTTCAAATTTTTATCTGTAAAAATAATATGTTTTTCTTAAAATTCAGATTTATATATGAATATCAAGAACTTCAGAGGTATATCCCACTAAGATCCTGCCCTCCTATAAGGGCAATTTATAAAGGGCTTCAAAGTCTCAGAAAAGATGAACTATTAGTCAAACACATTATGATTTTTTTGTCATAGCTTGGATTTTTTAAACTATTATTTTAAATATAAGTAATTAACGCCAAATTGATTTTCTATAAGCATAGCTCTGAAATATGACAAAGCAAAGAGCTTAGGCAGACAAAGTAGAGGGTGATTCAAAGAACTTCCTTTCAGTATTCTTTTTAAAATCTCTGTCATTCCTCATCATTTTTTTTCTTTACCCTTGACAGTCATTTTTAAAAAGGCTTTCTGAGATCAAAGAACAGATCAAGTTTCACAGAACTGGATATGTGTCTGCTCACATAGGAATGCAGCCTTCAATCCAAGTTCTATGTCTTGTGCTCTAAGTCAGCTAACTAGCCTCTCACTATGACTTCTAATAAAAAATTCTCATTATACCACAGCATGCTTGGCAGAGCTCATACTGCTTTATATAAAACGTCTTCAAAAGTGA